AAGCAGTGGTATCAACGCAGAGTACTGAATTGAAAGAGGAATATTTGGAAAACCTTTAGATTTGTAGATCACTTATCTTTGTAGCAATCGATAGCAAATGCATAGGATATAAGACAGAGAAATATAGCAATATGACTGAATGAGAACATCCTCATGGAGTAAGAATTTTGCGAGTGTCATCTAAGATTTATAGATGCTCAGTGACTCATTTCTGTCAATGATAGGATTTTTCCTATAATCTATCTATTATCGCATTCCCCGTTGCGAGTGAACACACGTGAGGGGAATCAGAGTGCATCACAATTTAGAAGAACCTTTTATCACTAGGGTGGGATATGACACACCACACCTGGCAAAGCAGTGGTATCAACGCAGAGTACTGGTCGTAATTGACGTGACACTGATGTTAGCAATAACATAATCTTGTTAAATCCACTATGCAAAACAGAAGTACACTGGAGTGAACTTCATTGTATAAGTACAGTAAATACGACGAAGTCCTACCAAGCATAAAGTAACATGTTCCTGAAAAAAGAAAACAAAGTTTTTTCAAACATGTTTGAGAATGACCATTTCGCTTGGTTGGCTCAAAATTTTAAAACCTCAGAATTCTCCTAAACTTGGTCCACGAAGGTCATTGGGCATGCTAATTACACATATGACTCAATGTTCTTGGTAGGGCCTCAAGTTATGCGTACGGTGGTTGAAAATGAGACACTTAAAGAGAGCGGGTTGTATCTGGGGGTACCCAGATACAACCCGGAGTGTGCCACACCTTAGCTCGACCCCTAAAATTTTGAACCAACCAAGCGAAATGGTCGTTCTCAAACATGTTTGAAAAAACTTTGTTTTTGGCTACTTCTTTATGCAGTCATTAAGAAGGACTAATCATTTTTTGTCCATATGAGAAGTCCTTCTTCAGGGCGGGTAGCAATCTGCGCGACCTGGCTGCAGGTCGTGCCAGCAAGTCGTCGGAGTCTTGCATTGTGGTCGCCAAAAACTAATACTCCACCTTTAGGTCGTCTATAGCTTTTTCACAGGAAAATTTCCATATAAAGATGCCTCAACGCCATCAAAATTTTTAAAAGTCGTTTTTCCGAAACTATGTTCATGGCAATGGCCTATTTGGAAACGTCGAGCTCGTTGAAATTTGATCCGCATTGGCTATTTGACATGCTAATCATGAACATGTTACTTTATGCTTGGTAGGACTTCGTCGTATTTACTGTACTTATACAATGAAGTTCACTCCAGTGTACTTCTGTTTTGCATAGTGGATTTAACAAGATTATGTTATTGCTAACATCAGTGTCACGTCAATTACGACCCCCTCTCCTTTCTGACTCCTCCGACCTGCCAGGTGTGGTGTGTCATATCCCACCCTAGTGATAAAAGGTTCTTCTAAATTGTGATGCACTCTGATTCCCCTCACGTGTGTTCACTCGCAACGGGAATGTGATAATAGATAGATTATAGGAAAAATCCTATCATTGACAGAAATGAGTCACTGAGCATCTATAAATCTTAGATGACACTCGCAAATTCTTACTCATGAGGATGTTCTCATTCAGTCATATTGCTATATTTCTCTGTCTTATATCCTATGCATTTGCTATCGATTGCTACAAAGATAAGTGATCTACAAATCTAAAGGTTTTCAAATATTCCTCTTTCAATTCCACGAGCAATTACATTTCAGTACTCGCAAAGAACAAAGAAAGACCAAAGAAAGAACACAAAACAACGTGTCTGAGCGGAAATTTTTGCAAAAAGTGATTTTCAGTATCCAATCTACTGAGAAATGAACTGGGCTTAATCTTTGTATTTCTAGATTCACTGAGACTATAAGCAAAGACACAGTTCATAGATATGGCTGTGGCTCGGAGACGTTTGGACAGCCATGCAATGTAAGTGTAAGTAGATAAAAAAGATTTACTGGTTACTTATCTAAAATTTTTTTTCGAAAAAGTACTCAAATTGGGTAATAATCATCCGCCCACAATTGGAAAATCTAATCTACATCAAGAGAAGGCATGGAACAAAAGTTGGAAAAAATACTAGTAGATTATTTGCTACTGCAAATGGATGAAACGAATTGACTGTTTCCATTTTGAACAAAATCTACGACGCCATACATTCTTCGCAGCGGTAGACCGAGAAGAGAAGGGGGTGGGAAAGGGGGAGGGAAAGAAAGGGCGCCCCTTTCTGAGATGGACGAGTCATTTGTGCAAGTGCCTCGTTATTACTAGTAGAACTAAGAACTAAGTTCGTTTTTGAAATTCTCGAAAATGTAAATTAGCTTTATAGTATGGACTCGCAAAAATTCTGGGAAGCATTTCGAAAAAGTTTTCGTAGTGTTTGGCTAAGGTCACGCCCTTAACCTAAATGAATTCCTTGTCTTAACCACCCATCAGAAAAATATTGGACCGCCACAGCCTGTTCAGTACGCAGGCACGTCTCCGTGTAAGGAGCTTCGCCACCAGCAACGTGTGATGTATTAGATGTTTATAATAGCGCGAGTATGTTAGAGTTTTAGTTCAGATGATTTAAGTAATAATGCTTGGCTGATGTACGCAGAGTTTCTTCTTGAATACAAAACTATGCTAAGCTCCAAGCATGTACCTTCCTCTTTAAGATTGGCAAGAAAGATTTGTTATCGAAATTAAACCAATCCATTTAGTAAAAAGGCAGATGTGAAATTCAGGCGCAGAATGACAGGAGTTGGTTGCAGTGAGCGCAGCTTATAAAAACCATTTTGTTATACTTTTTTGCCGTATTGATCTGATATCGATCTGCATTATGGATGAAGTAGCAGAAAGGGAACAATTTATTTGATGATTAGGGTGGTAATTGGAAAGAAACTCTATATCTGCAAAAGCTTTCAATCTGAAAGCATTGAACTCAAAAATTTTCTGTTCCATAGTCCATTCAATTTACAATACTTCACATGTCGTCGATAAAGTACGGCGCTTTTCCTTAGGTACAATTTGGGGAGGGGGGGGGGGGGAACTGTCATGACTTCTTATAAAGACAGAGCAGAACTGAACACGGAAATGAGTTTATCATACCGAAGAAAGTATAATGGTTGACATTCATTTTCTGAAGAGGCTACAATCACCTAATCTTTCTTTATTTGATTAAATGTCCAATATGTCTTCTTATATTAACCAAAATCTGCTTATCTCTAATTCTCAAATCAGATACAAGCGATTGTCTTATAGAGCAAAGCCCTACGGGTGTATGACTTTATGAACGATAGCATGTGCCAGCCGCCTGCTGGCTACCGTACGCGGTGAGCTGAACGCTCCGCCTCCTGGTGGTTTTAGCATGCGAATGCGTTTCATTATGGGAGAGCCTCCCTAACATTTCACTCATGCTTCTGCTGTAGCTGAAGCTCAAAATTTTAATTTACAAAATATTCAAAAACTCAAAAATCATCCTTCAGAATCATTCATTTATATTGAAACAGTTAGCAAGCTCTTTTTTGATCTATGTTGATTTTTTGTTACCAACGGGTTTGTCCGAACTAAGGAAAAATCTGACAAAAAAGCATTTGAGAGTAACTTGTTTTAAAAATGCTCGAAAAATGTTTCAGTGCACGTCATTTACATTTGTCATTATACATAGATTTGATTAAGAAGAGATCAGCTTGTCGAAAAACATTACCACTGCCGAAACATCTGATCAGCATAATTTTCTTTTTCATCAAAAGTTAAGTTTTGATCATGTAATGTTTGTCCGCTAATTCAAATTTAGTGGAAAAAATGCACGTTTAAATGCTTGAATTCCGACAGTGCTAAGGAGCATTGCAAAGAACTAATTCTGGTCCAGGAATCTGGTCTAGAAAAAAAGGAAAGACTACGAGATGATAGCTAACGTAAAATTATGATAATGTTTTGAACGACCAGGCCACTCATTTTAGGAAATACCGGCTACAGCTCAACATAGTCTAGGAAAATCACACTACACTTGAATTTTTTAAGAAGTGCAGACAATAAATATACAGGCGAAACTGCTTGTGAACGGATCAAAGTCATGAGGTCGCTCAAACAATTATGCCTGAGGTAACCTACATTGATTTCACACTTCAAATGCATATCTACGGAGATAACCGATCAACTTGATATAAGTCAGCAAAACCATCAATTTTTACAATTAAACATCATTAACTCAAAAACTGCAAAAGTTGCAAAAACAAAATGAGATTTCATAAAGTTAAGTCCCCCGCCCTCTCTTCACAGCTTAAAACAAGCTTATGGCTTACTATTAGGAGCTGCTCCGAATGAGCTAGTGATCACGGACTTGATGTACTGCCAAATGTCTAGTGCAGAAAACTCGTCCATTTAACGATAGGCGGGGCTAACGGTGCGCACCTTATTGACACATGCCTGCCTAAGCGCGCGCTATCGTTCATAAAGTCCGCCACCCAGCCCTACAAAAAATCTTATGATTGCAAAAGGTTTGTGTACTTTGGACCAAAGCTCGAAACTCTCAAGTGCTAAAAAATCAGATCCCGCTCACAAAAACCATTCAGACCTCCCACTTGCTCAGACATATTTATACGAGTGTCCAAAAAGATGTACTGTTTGATCGTTAATAACCCTCTTGCTTTCATGTCTTTTGTCAAGCTTGAGGTACCATTCTGTAGAGCGATGTTTAACTGAAATTTATAGTATGAGCAGATTATTAATCTCTCTACATCACTGTAGGATTTTGTAGGAAGTTTGAGAAGGATTTCAAGCCATTGAATGCGGTATTTTGCCCAGAAAAAAGCCAAACGAGCCAGAAACTCGAACTGTGCTAAGTGAAGGCGCTGATTCTAAATAAGAATTTGCACTTCAGTACAATGCTTATTTTACGAGTTATTTCAGAGTTAGTGTGACGAATGTTTTTCCAATGTTCGCCAGAAATGTGAACATGCCATCAATAAAGCTCGATAGGTAAAAAGCTATGTACTGAAATCAGCACGCCTGAGAACCTTGCTACGCAAATTTTCAGATTTTTTTGATCATATTTCATTTAGAGGTCTATGCCACAATGACACTGTATGCTGAAAGTTCATAACGTAATTACAGTAATGGAGAGAAATCGGTGATTCGTTCCATGCTGTAAATCTAAATTCCTTGCTTTACAGAATGGTACCTTAAGTCGGCGACATGAAAGCAAAAGAGTTATTAATGATCAAACAATGTGCACATCGTTTGGGGCACTCTGTATATAAGGCTGAACGTCTGTTTTATATGTCTGCACCTATGTCTGCGTGTATGTATGTACGTACGTTCCGAATAGAAAATTTCATCTAAACCGATCTGGGCCAAACTTTGTACACATGCACTTCGTAGCGGTGCAAATGTCGTAGGCTTCTTTTCGTTATCGATATCGATTTTATTTCTGCTAACTTTGAGCTACGGGGCTGGGAGTTGGCACGATGGGGTAAATAACTGAGCATGCTGATTACGAATGCAGTATCAGTCCTTAGATTTGTTGTTTTGCAAAGTTTGAGCTATGCGGCGGTATTTGGCACAGTGGGGTAAGGGGCACGCTGATTACGAGCACACTATCATTCTTCAAAATCATCGACTACTCCCATCGATTTTATCGATTTTTTAGCAAAGTTTGAGCTAAGATGCTGCGATTGGCATGGGGTTAGAGAAAATGTAGATTAGGGGCTCGTCGTAATTTACGAAAGAGGCCCAAAAGCGCCAAAAAAAGCCCAGAAGCGCTCAATAAGGCCCAAAAAAGCCCAAAGCGCCAGAAAGAGCCAGAACACCCCCTTCCGCGCGCGCGTTTTGGCCCTAAGGCATGTGTGTTGATTTCGCAACCGTCGCTTTGGTTCATTTTTTTCGTCTGCACATCAAAATAGTGTCAGAATTCTTCCAAAAGTTCGTTTCTGCGTTCCTGCTCTTTCTGGCGTTTTCGGGCTTTTTCGGTCTTGTTTTGGGCTTTTTTGAGCCCCGTTGGGCTTTTCTCGGCGAACTATGACGGGTTTCTTACTAAGGGGGAATAGGGAATTGACATGTAAAGGTGGGCACATGGAAAGGTTGTTCAGGGATAGGGATGGGCATGGCGGCGCCAGGATTTCGGACCGGGGGTGGGGGCGCGACAGAAATTTTTTCCAATGAAGGTGCGTGGCGCCAGCCACTCCGAAAAAATTTTTCGGATGCTTCCCAGAATTTTTGCGGGGTCCCCAACCCCTGAAATCTGGAAAAAGGGGGCGTCGCGTTAGCCATGCCCCGAAAAATTTTTTTATGTAGGGCTAATTTAAATTTCTAAAATTCTTAGGAATCATCTTAATTGCTTTCAAAAACAAACAAGTACAAGTCACTTGCACATTTTTATAACCCATATGAGTAACTTTCAAAAATTTCGCGACCCATTCTCGGGGGGGGGGGGGGGGAGCGCCCTTCTCGGCCCGCCATTGGGGATGGGATATTTAGGGCCGCATGCATCAACTTCCCCGCTAGGAGGGGATCACAGCTTCAGAAGAAAGCTTCATATCTTGAAGCTCTAGTCTGGAGTTTACGCTGTCTATGTATCCATAAGTACTCCCATCACACCCTTCACTATGAACATCTTGAACGGGAGCAAGAAGCTGTACAAGCCACATTTTTCAGCTTTTTGTTCGATCCCCTGATGATCCCTAGCTGCCGACCGTCTTCTATATAAAGCCATTTTTCTTCTTTCGAAGTCATAAAAACATTCCAAAATTGTGCTGATTACCTAACCTAACAGTGCTAATCATGATTTGGTAAGAGCAAATTAGTTTTCGAAGTCATGAAATTTGCGATGAACCACAAGTCGAAAGTCGGCGTTTGTCGAAAAATCGATATTCCAAAAACTTATTTGCTCTTATCAGCAACATGCTTAGTACTGTTGAGTTAGATAATCAGCACAACTTTGGATGGTTTTCATCAACTCTGAAGAAAGAATAATGACTTCAAACAAAAGACGACCGGTCGCGGGAAATCATTAGGGGATCATACAGAAAGCCGGAAAATGCGGCTTATACAGATTCTTGCTCCCGTTCAAGATGTTCATAGTAAAGGATGGTGGGAGTTCTTACGGATGGTAGACAACGTGAAATCCAGATATGTGGAGCTTCAGGATATGAAGCTTTCTTCTGAAGCTGTGATTCCCTCCCCGGCGAGGAAGTTAATGCATGCGGCCCTTAGTGTTTTGAGTGGGGTGTTGTGTGTTTTGACAGTTTTTGACAGGGCGGGGCAAAGCCGAAATAAGGCAGTTAGTGCTCTCTATATAAAACTGTGGTACAGTTGCCAAATTCTTCTATGGCTAGAAGTTGAAAACCAAAGTAAGCCAGAACTTCGGAAAACCCAGAAAACTTCGTTTTTTCCTTCTTTGCATGCAATTTATTTTTTATGAACTAAGGCTCATAGAGGGCTGAAAATGCACGGCCTTGCTTAGAAAGCTTCATGCTATAGATCTGCCTACATAGAATATGTAAATGACTATGTAAATGGCTAAGCATGTAAATGACCAGCATATATTAGTCGTTCCGAATGTTCGCCTTGTTATTCAGACCCATGTTCACACTTAGAATAAAGATAGACAAGCGCTGTATGCACTTTCCAGTGCAGGACTTCTCCCTTTTCCTAATGGTTATGTTTTTATTGGGATTCCCTTGATGTCCGCTCGATAATCGGCAGGGATTTCTAATCCACGATTTTCACACTTCTTTATTTTGGCTACTTTTTGAAGCTTTTAATTTCAACTTTTGAACTAGTTTTGGTAATGGTTGGATAATAAACAAAATGCAATACAATGAACTAGTTTGGCTTCATCAACTAACTTTTCGGTATTTCTTGAGATATCTTTAAGTTCTTACTTTTGCGAAGTCGCAAACTATGCAATCGCTCCAAGCACTGACAATTCTGCGCAAATTGAGGCTTCGTAAATCTGCTTATCAAACGCTGATTTTAGCGAACAACAATAGTTTAGCGGCTCGAAATTTTGGATTCCAAATTTTCCTGTTACAGCGTGGGAGGAGTTTGCAAGCATTAATTGCAGTTATTTTACCTTCAGATATCACAAATCAGAAAAAAAGAAATCTATTAGAAAGAGGAGAAAAAGCTGCATCGAATGACATCCTGGTCGCTGGCCCTTTATTGTTATGTGAGGATTAAGATGCTCAAGTATGGAATTTGAAGCATCAGAAGAATATTTTTAACAATTTTGAGATGCCAGCTAGAGATGCCAAAAAATGCATTGTACTGCATTTTGTTAATTTTTTTTTAATGTTGTCAAAGCTAGTCCCAAGATGAGAGAAAATTACGGGTAGGACATCTTTGCCGATTATTGAGCGTACATCAAGGAAATGTGAACAAAGACAGCCTCGGATAGTGCTTACAGCGTTTGCCTGTCTTCATCCTAGGTGGTTTGGGCATGGGCCTGAAAAACATCGCAAACTTTCGGAGACCTAATATATAAACATCTAACGCAATTGATACGCTTTACAGCTTCGCATTCTACATAATGAACCCTATGATGGTATCATGTGCGAATTATTTTACTTTGTAATGGTCGGAACATCTTGCGGTTTGACTACATAATCTGGCTTCTGACGATCTCCTAAGACGGCTTAGACGCGTCAGAATTGAGGCTGGCCAAAACTTGCAGCCACTTTTTGTTAATCGTTTTTGTGAAAATTCTTAAGCTTCCAATACTCGTGCTACGGATGTATCCACACTTGCCGGAATGTGCCCGACAATCAGCTACAACACAGAGAAGAAGAATGTATAGATCGGATTGGATTGACCGCAAATTAACTGTCAAAAATCGGAAAACCCGTTAAATCTTGAACAAGTACCCTAATTTCACAAGTATCTGAACTCGACCAGCTTAGACATACCAAAAAATTTTACGATCAGAGGAACCTTCTACCGTACTGCTCCTTACCTGAAAGCATACCCTCGATACATAGAGCCACGTACTCCGGTAACCTTCATTTTGAGGGCTATGAGGAAACACAACCTTCACCTGGAAAAAGCAGAAGTCATCCGGGGCTTCGCCCTGGATGTTATTATCCTGGTTATATCGGAACGAATGTTAATGAAGCAAATATAGCGAATAATATCTCTAGCTTATCTCAGCGAAATCGAGAATTTGCGTTTTTATAGCCTTTTTTTACCTTTAAAAAGGTTTCTGTGGGATTTTCGCCAGAATTCAGAACAAAATTTCTTAGTTAATCTCTCATTTGAACAAAATTGAGTTTCGGAAGTTTAGGAAAGCTATTGGAGCTAAATAAGTACGAGAAACTGCGCTTAAATCTTGCTGAGAGAGTCGCGCACGAAAACGCAGGTCTATCTTATTAATGAGTGACTTTCAAAGCTTGGGACGTTGTCAGTTCTCGTCGTCGTGTCATGGCGATCAGAATGATATATAATGTTGCGGGGTTTCGTCGAGACCCCACGGAGATCTACGACCAGAGCCAAATGCCCCGTCGGCTCTGGTCTGTCTCCGCTGCTCGTCTGCGTCTCCGCGCGTTGCGCGCTACCTCGCTACCCCAAACGCGGGGCGCGGGGCATTTGGCTCTGGTACCCTTTTCTTCGCTGTTTCGAACCCAATTTTAGCAAGCTATACATCAAAATGAAGCTCTTGATCTCTATTTTCACGCTGACAACGTCCCAGAAGCACATTTATTGATTTGAGCGAGAAATCCGGCAAAAACGTTGTTTTCGAAAATCTCTTGTTTTTCTCGTAGGTTAGCTATTTTCACGCGGTTTTTTCGTGCATTCTATAGATCTTGCTTCTATTCATAATGCAGACAACCACCCAGCCTTTATCTCTTCGATTATTGTGGAATTTTTTGCGAAAAATCGTAAAAAGTGCGTTTTTCTTTACCTTGTTCTATTCCTGTGTTTTCGCATCGATTTTTTTCCAGCTTGGGCGATTGTTGCTCAGAACAATAAGCGCAACAATCCAGACAACGTCCCAGGAAACAGGAGCGTCAATGAGGGGGTAAAAATTCAAAGGACGCATCAAAAATCAAAACCCCGTGTTGCGAATTGCTGGTCCTGAAGCGAAAACTTGCACTTTGAAAACCCGCGAAATGAAAGATTTTAAGCCTCATTGCAGCGTTTTTGTCCGCTTTTGAGCATTTTCTTTTGCTTTTTATATTCGTTTTATGTATTCTTTTCTTCTCTGATCTTCTATAACAACCTTCACTTTTTTACGAGGGCAGATGTTCAAACAACCTTCACTTTTGACGCCCTGTCTCCAGACTATCGAAGGTATGCCTGAAAGAAGTGTCACAGAGAGCGACATTTTCACGAAACACATTGGTGCGCCGTGCTGCTTGCTTGTGGAAAAAAGGTGCGTCATGTGCTCGTGAAATTAGGGTAACTGACATGTGCATGCTTCCATAAGAAGATTTACCAATTAGATGTTCGAAGTCAATCAGACTGTGTGAAAGAAAAGCATTACTCTACTTAAATTCAACTTGGCTTTCGTTTTTCACTCAAATTTGCATTTTGCAGCTCGGAAGTTTGGCGCAGCGCTCAGCAGGGACTTGATGACAGCATTTTTTTAGAAGACGAACGCTGGGTTAAAGTAGAGTTTCATAGAAAAGACGAAGCTGTTTTGCCATAGAGAAGCTTCCCAAATTTGCACACTTAGCAATCTCAATTGTACACGCAATTTTCTCAAATACAATAAACACGCAAGCGTTTTTATATGCCAGGACTTCGTCTTTTCTGTGGAATCTGAAAGCGCCTACCAAGCTTTCATCTGTAAAAACAATGCTATGAGCTTGAGTTATCTGGGGATCGCTGCGCCGAACTCTCGAGCTGCGAAATGCAGCAAATCAGAGCAGGAATGACAAGTTGAATACAAACCAAGTGATCCCTTTTCTGTTGATTGACTTCGAAAGTCTAATTGGTGAAACTTCCTTATAAGAGCATGCATGTCAATTACTTGTCCAAAACGTAGCGATTATTTCGATCTTCCCGGTCAACTTGCGCTCAAACCAATTTGATCCAGATCCAGAATTCTCCTTTTTTGTAGTATGATGGAGCTAATTGTCAGGCCCATTCCAGCATTTATGGATACATCCGTAGCCGAGTATTATTGGAAGTTTAAAGACTTTTAAAAAGTACAATCAATAAGAAGTGGCTGCAACTTTTGGCCAGCCTCATTTCTGCCAGTTTCCTAAAATCGCCTTTTATGAGCATAAAATCGTAAGATATTTTGGTACATTACAAACTAGAGTACTTTGCACGTGATACTGTCTTTGGGTCCATTATGCAGGACGCGAAGTGAATCACAGCTATCACTCAGAGTGGATGCAAACTTTTGGTTAGCATTATATTTGGTCTGATAGTGATGTGGTTTTCTAACTTTAGACAGACGGCTGCGTTAAATTCCAAGGAACCACTACGTGCTGTTGTAGCAAGAATCTCTGCAATGGATCATCGGAACTTCCAACTTTTCTGTCATTTGTGACAATTATCATTGTGAAGCTCATAATTTAATCTGAGCGAGGATAAAAGCTATCAAGAGTTGAAAGATCTGCTCATTTACAAATATTTCTACAAGTAGCTACTGAGCTCGTCTTTTACCAGAATAGAAAGTGTACACTAAAATAGATGCAACTCGTTCAAACAAAATCAATTATTATTTACTACAATTTGGCCGATGCTGAAGAGTAGATCATCTTTCAACCGAGATCTAACCAATTTATGCGTTTGATTTCCGTAGATGAAAATTGAAGCTATTCGTTTTGAAAAACTGTGAAAATTGCTGTGAAATGGAATGTTTCTATGCGGTGAGATGTGCAGAAAACATTCGCTTGTGTATGCTGTTTGCTGCCTTTGAATAAAGACTGAAAAAACTTCAAGTAGGCGGATCTTCAAGGTAAACAATGTTGAAAAAAAATGTGCTGTCAATGATACAATACCGCTCACAGAGTGTACAAAATCTCCGTGAATGTCGCGAAATTTCGCGAACTTCCAGAAACTTTGTGGAATCAACGGAAATCACTCAAACGCCATAACTTCCTTCGGAATGAATATATTCTGAATCCAGAAGCAGCATTGTGTTCAGCTGATGAATCTTTACATATACAGCGCGTCCTCGATATTCCGTTTCCAGCTTTTCAAATTCTTCTGCGGAGGTTCTTTCGCAAGGATGTAACGCAGCGCCTAGCCAACGTAAAAGATACCTGTAAGTGCTATTTTATAGTACTGTCCCTGTAGATTATAGTACGTCAGGAATCTTCTTCCCAAAAAAGATAAAAGCAGTAAATTCTGGAAAAATCACCGCCCCCTAATTCTACTCGCTGTAACTTTTCGGAATCAATATATTTTGAATCCGAAAAAATTGTGCTCAGCTCTACAATACGAATCTCTTCAAGACAGTATGTCTTTGAAATTCCGATTTTAATATTCTGCAATCTTTCAACGTCTTTTCGCAAAGATGTGAAGCACCGCGTATTGCCTCTAGTAGATTTCAGCAAAAACATGATAGTACTTCTTCTGCAGATTATAGAGCGCTAAAAGGTAGCTGCAGACTTTTTTTCCGAAAGAAATAGAAGAGCTGGTGAATTCTAAAAAATCATGTCGTTCCAAGTTTGACTCACCATAACCCTAAAGAAGCTCTCTCGCTGAGCAGATGTGTTTTTGTAATCAGCAGGCCGTATGACTTATATGAGCAAGTTTTTGCAGATGTTCGAGTTAATTCATTTTTTTGTTTTACGCTCTGAAGCTCGATGATGGGTTTTGGTCAAAATATAGATGGTCTTGGATTGTAAGGAAGCTTCGCTTATGGAGGTTTCGGGACACCCTGTTTACGTCAATTGTGGTCTTTGAGGAATACAGGGTCTTTTTGCAGAGATATAGTGAGGTAACTGTATCTGAGTCACGAAAGTTCGTAAATTTGCCTGCACTTCTCGTGTATCTTTCAGAAATCTTGTCTGCTTGCTTTTATAGGTTAAAGTTATTAAAAACCGTGCTATTGGATGGTGCTTGCTCAGGCTCCAGTTTATGAATATCGCTTAGTGACTACTACAAAAACACGTCCTCATGCATTTTGTCCGATATGTAAAGATCGCATACTTCGTCGAAATCCATCGAGAGTGGTTGTATGACATTCTAGTTGCAAATATTATGTTCACTTCACCCAAGGAATCCCACTGTATCGAATATGGTGGTTGTGTATGCTTCAGCTGCTCAATTGAATATCAGAGCAGTTTCATAATCAAAGCTCAACTACCTAACTGCCAAATCAAACACAGGAAGATCCATTAAGCGATATTATATTGTTCCAATTTATCAGAATAGTAAAAATCACTTGAAATCGATAGGTAATGAAAATCGCACTCTTGAACTAACAAAGGAATGGTCAGAAGTCGAAGTGGCCAACTCAAGCAAGTGCTTAGCATTCGATGCAGCATTCAACGGTGATTTCGAATCTGGATTCCGTATCTGTTTAGCGCCTTTGTGGACGAAGTTTTGAGCGTCCTATTTTGGAAAAATTGTACATACGTCGCCCCAATATCAACCAGGCCAAAATTGGCATGGCGGGAGTCCGCGTCGCTAGGATTACGCGGTCACGCCCGTGGCCTGCTTCTCTGCTCTCTCATCAATTCTTTTGCTCTCTCCGGCAGCGCAAACGCTTAGCGCTGTGATCGCGCAAATTTACGCCGGCGGTTCGGCCTGATCCCAATTGGGGCAGACTGTTAAATTTGCGAAATTGAGCACGTTGTTACACACGTAGCTCACTTTTAAGACTTTTTCACTTCAAAACTATGAAGTAACCTAGCTGCATGGTTTAGCCCAGCATTAAGCCAAACATGGCTCTGTACTGCCATATTTGCGCTTTCCACGCACGATTTCTTAGCAAGATAATGGCTTTGAACGGCAATCTCTGCGTTTTTACATCGTTGCTATTGCTCAGCCTTCTTCTTTACATAGTAGAAAAATCATTCAAAATCGTTTCTTCTAGGAAAAAATATGATTGTTTTTTCTCACTAATGCAAATGGAAAATACTGCGAAAATATTGGGTTACGGTAACACTCCTAGACTGCGCTACTATTTAAATAGCGATGTAAGGCGACAAGAATGAGTGTATACGATAGCCTAACCCTCGTCATTTACATTAAAGTGTTTGAGCCTGACGTGGTCTTCTCTAGTCTGAGATATTGGAAGCGGAAAATGGAAGAAATAAGATTTTGGCTTGTTCGTAATTCCATAGTTTCGATTATTCGAGGTAGGATTCCTAAAGTGAGCAAAAAAGTAGTAGTTCTTTGTATCAAATGCAGAAAGATGTAGTTAACTCACCTTTGAAACGAAGAAAACATTTTCAACACGTTTCGGACCGCGAAATCGCGCGCGGCGAAAAAGAGTGTTCTTTCAATCGTTAACCAAGAAAATTTCGCAGATTGTGTGCTACATCTGTAATCTGCATGCTAGATAAGCTCCATAGCCAAAGTTCTGAATGAATTCGAAGTGTTTGAATTTTGCTACTTGAGAAGAACTTCTGTGCTTTCTTGAAAGATAGGAACAAGAACTCAGTTTCTAATAGTATAAAGGTATCTATGTTGTGGACGGTACACATCAATATTAAACTACGGTTTTTCTCTTTGATACTGAAGCAGAGGAAAGTTGCGACATCGCAACTTTCGTTGTCGCATTTCGCTGTAACTGTTGTTCGATTTGTGCTCATAACCTTTAAACAAATATCGATGGCACAACTCTACAGAGTCATTTGAGAAGTAGAAGCTCAAGCCTTTGACTTGATACCTTGGAAAATTTCCTGTAAACATCAAGAAGATCCTTCAAAGCAGGGCGCTGCACCATGTGCAGCATCGGTCCAAAACATGTTAAAAATGACTATCTCACTTGGATGGCCCAATATTTGGAAATCTCAGAAATCGCTTAAACTTGGCCCACAGGGATTATTTGACATTCTATTTACGAAAATGATGGTCTTATGCTTATAGCGCTCCTAATTACGCTTACGGTACGTATGCGATGGTAGACCAAAACATCATATGTAGTATTATACTTTACAGTGCCTATCTGACACTGTTAACGAATATCTCGTTATGGCTAACATCAGCTCACCTCGATAACGACCCCCTCCCCCCTCCCTCCCCGACCCACCAATACACCCCCAGGTGTAGCGTGCCACCCCACGCTCTACCCTAGTATGCCCGAGGGCATATACTTCAAAGGCTCACATAGGAGTGTTTGCTGCAATATTTGTTGGCATGTTTTATATCCCATTGCAATTAGGAATGAAGGGGCACACATTTAGTACTAAGACATTTTTGTCAAAGTACTGTCACCTGTGAACCTCCTCGGTTCAAATCTGCTCTCGTAAACAAAGATGCCCAAACCTAGCATGGCAGACACGGGGTCAAGCTGGTCATCATTCGGTGAAAACTGAAAGGGATATCCTTTTTTGCAAAGTTCTGAGCGGCGCTTCGAAATTGCAGAAATGACATAAAAAGCACACTTTGCAGAAAATCGCCCTTTTGAACTCCCCATTAGTTGAATAAGTGCCACTACTTGATTTCTCGCACAGCGCGAAATTACAAACAAGAAGCTGAAACATGTAAGCATTCACGTAAGCATGAGAAACCGAACAATGTTAGAAGTTCATCGATACGTATGTGAACAAGCTGTGGCGATGGTTCTTCCAAATTACTGGAACTGATCCAGCTGATGGCAGCTGAAAAATCCTACATTATGCTCCATGTTTTTTATGGCCTTTAGATCAGCTGTAACCGCGTAGGACACACACACACACACACACACACACACACACACACACACACACACACACACACACACACACACACACACACACACACACACACACACACACACACACACACACACACACACACACACACACACACACACACACACACACACACACACACACACACACACACACACACACACACACACACACACACACACACACACACACACACACACACACACACACACACACACACACACACACACACACACACACACACACACACACAACACACACACACACACACACACACACATAATGCCGAAATTGCTTCAAACCCTCATCCCTGCTCTTCAGTTACCTTTAAGGATTTCAACGGAGCCGCGGGGTTTCCCCAACGGGGGTTCGCCACTCGTGCTCCGGCGACCTCCCATTTTGTGCTCCGGAGGTGTCCCAAATCTGGCGTACCTCCGGAGAGCAAATTTTTGCTCCGCGGCTCTCCCAAATCTGGCGTACCTCCGAAGAGCAAATTTTTGCTCCGCGGCTCTCCCAAATCTGGCGTACCTCCGAAGCAGGGATTTGCAAGCCCGCAAGGAGGGGTCCCATCTGCCTTGACGTCACCGTGACGTCACAGAAAGGGACCGCCCCGTCGCTCTCAATGGTCAATTGGGTCTTCCGCAGCTCTGCCAGATTTCGACTGTCCTCCGGCTCTACGGCAGCGATTGTCTGAGTAATTTCCGTGTTTGACAACATCCCTTGTTGTCCTTTCGAACTACCTATTTTTTCAGAACTCATTATACCGCTTCGTTTTTCATGATGAGTAGTAAAAGAGCAACATATTATTATTATTATTGACTTAGCATTGATCCCCATTGTAGGGGCTAACAAAGTGAGTTGTGTTTACTAGAACGTGTTTCGAGAACGGAGAATAAAAATTTGCAAATGTTACTT